AGCAGCCAAAATAATAACTGTACGTAAATGAGAAATAAAGTTAGTTTGATCATTGTCGTCGTTTTCGCTACTCATTGAAATAGTTAATTGAGTTGGAAAGGTAAATTTGAAGATTTTTCGTTCGTTCTTATCATCATTGGAAGCCATCTTGCAACGTCTCGTCTAAGTCTCTATGGATTAATTTACGTAAGAATTTTTACTAAACAAAGAAAATAAAGAGTTTTTATTATTATTCAACAATCGAAGAATTTCTTAAACGAATTATGCAAGTATATTTTATCAAAAATTATATTCCTCAGTTCTATAAGGTAACTATAAGCTAATGACATCTATTTTATAGAAATTGCTTTCCAATGATTACCACAACGATAACCAATTAAAAATTTTTTTTATTGTTACTTACTTCCTTTTAACAGTCATTTCATTCATAAGGCCTCGGACAGACTGAAAAAAATAAAACGAATTAAGCAACGTGATTGGCCTACTTCGGTTTTAATCGTCTTTTTGAGACGATTTATTCGTTAATTCACTTTGAATTAGTCAGTCTGTTCAGGGCCTAAGCATTGACCTTATTTTCAATAGAAAAACAATGCTACATTAAGTTTGAACTAAACCGACACAGGTCTTGACTTATTACTCTAATCTATTCTATCTATTAGAACTCGGAAGTTATAGCATATTTCTCAAAAAAAAACGAGTTGGCCTTCGTGTCTTGTCTTGATAATACATAAATCAAGTTAGAAATCTATCACCAAGGGATTAATTGTTCTGATCATGCATTTCGTCAACACCAAAGTTCTTAAAAACTATTTTCTTCATTCCTATGTTTCAGTCTTTAGTTTGATGTGATTTATTAGTGTATTACGTCAAGTACTTGCCTCTATCAAATGTTAATAACGTGACATCATCAAAGTACATTCATTATTCTAATTAATGCATCAAATTCCTTTTGAATTGGTACAATAAATTTAATGCATTGCGTAAAATTATATAAAAACGTAATAAACTTTTTGATCAATGACGTTTCTTAATTAAGCATGAAGTTTTTTTAATGAAGATCAGATGATTCAATTGTGTTAAAAAAAAGTACTGCAACTTTCTAAATTTATTTTTATTATTGTTGATTTATCATATCTCATAATATAACTAAAAAAAAAAGATTTTGAAAATATTTTTTCGTTATATGAATTATAATAATTCTGCTTAGGATTCAATCACTATACGAGAATTGCGACTGACTTCCGATATAGTTGCTCAATCGGAAATTTTTCGGTTTGGATGAAAATGATTCCATCTTGTAGAACAAATTTTTTCAGGCATACAGACAAATTTTTAAATTTGAGGAATGGTTTTATGATGATCTAGTTAAAAGTACTTTCATTAATTTGAAATATTTTTTGTCAATCATCTATTAAAGATATTTTTACGATATATCCTTGCTAGTACGAACAAGCATTCTGAAAATTTTACCATATATATATATTTTGAAATGGACAATCAAACCATCTTATCCAATAATGTCCATCAAAAGCAGTGTCTATTAGCGACAGATTTTCTCCAAATCAGCGTGATAAAATTTGCTCAAACTTTTCCTCTAAAGACTAACAATTTGAGTCTACTTGAGCATACATTCAAAAGTTTGGGGTCTTGAAGTTTGACCGGTACAAGTGTCATCATAAAGTAATAGTTTTTTCTATATAGTATACAACGGATGACAATTACAGGCCATTCGGTTTTATTATAAAACAGAGATTGTTTGACATGAAACTTTCAACAATTGCAGAAGTTAAAGTTAGTCGTCACTTTCGTTAGTTTCAACTTGATTGGTGTTCCATCAGATGGGGACATGTATGATATTGAGGAAGAGCAACAATGAGATCAGAATTGGTAATTTTTGAAATTATCTTCGTAGTATTTGATTGTCACTTTATAAACCATTCACTAGAGGATTTAATCTAAAACAAAATATTATAAGTGATTGCAATTAGAAGTATAACATACCTAGTGATTATTCCTCTATATAGGTCATATACATATTATGTCGAAGGTCAATTAATTAAGAGCTACAAAGTTACTAAATTGAAGATTTGAAAAACTTTTCTATTGTCATTTCGTATTGACATATCATCAAAAATGTGTAAAAATTACCTGATAATGAATATTATGTGTCCATAATTTATATTATTATGTGAACAATTGAAATGATTATTTTAGTATAATTAGTACTCAACAATATCTATAAAACTGTTTCATCAAAGATTTGAAGTAAACCTGTTCTGTCCCATTTATCAATGACATCTATTCGAAACTATAAAAGAAATTAATAGCAATACATTATCTACAGTTATCTTTTTCAATATTTGGCATACAGACAACTTTTCTTTTATCTGTCAATGACTCAATGAAAAGAGAGTAACTGTTAGCTTATAGAAATCTTCAGAAAGCATACCATGACGTTTGGCTGTGAACACGGTATTTTGCCATGAAAGATGCAGGGACATGCATATAAAAAGTTGTTATTTTGTTATAATGTACATTTTTTTTTGAGTTTGATAATAATGAAGATTACGTGGAATTATACAAAAGCAAGCCTTTTCAACAGGTGAAAACTGCAGCTCTCTGCATTTTTTCTATCAAATTCTATTATAAAAACTATTCGAGCTTCTTCTATTTTCAAACGAAAAATAGTGATGATGAAAGTAGAAAAAACATGGATGAATATTTATTAGTTTTTTGTTTTATTGTTCTACTCGCTGTAAATGCCTGTAGTCACGTCGTTCCTATTCGTGCCCTTCACGTACTCCGCATGTGTAAGTACCCAGCGCAATAACCTTTTATCCTTTCTTCTTTACTTTCGTTTGTTATGCAAGTGTATTTTGTTTGCTTATCGAGTGTTTGATACCATGTTTGATAAACGTGCGCTTTTTTCAATAAGAAAAATAAATTTTTCAATGAAGTTCTATTCGTTAATCAAAAATTATCAATCTTCGAACAAAATCAAGCAATATTTTATTGAATATATTTGCAAATGTTCGCAAAAGAATCTGACGACAAAAAAAACGTATTTGCATATGAACGAACCACCAATTGATACATTTACAGAAACTTTCTTTGCCAACTATGCTTCTATTCCAGTTTCAAAATTGCGCAATCATTTGCTCACTGTACGCAAGCATGTCAGACAAAAGTACAATTATCCATGTTTTGGCCATTGGACATTTCTTCGTGATTCAATTCAACTAAGTAAAAATGAAAGTGCGACAGTAATCGATTTTGGATTTTGTCTTAGTCAAGATATACGACAACTTGTGTATGATGGCGTATCCCTCGAGAAAATTCGTGGCTATGAACTAGTTCATTTTTTTTTATTGAGCAACGTTATGAATTGTTCCGTGATGGTGCATTGATGAAAGAGAAGAAGGTACTTGTTTCGGGCAATATATTTGATGATCAATTTCTCAAAATGATTGAACCGGTTGATTATCTTTATGTTGGCTCATTCATCCAACTTTTCAATGCTGAGACTCAATGAAATGTATGTCAACGGCTAACTCGCAGAGTCAAACGTGCTATACTGAGCGACAAGCCGATTCATCAGTACCTACAGAGAGCTTTGCATGCATGTAGAATGAGGTTATGAATGGCATATGGCAAGTAGAAAGTGCTACTTTTCAGTCAATGAATGGTGTCAAAGATTTCTGTACGATGCTCTATTTTATGGTTAGGAAAAAAGAGAAGAATAGTAATTAACTACGTAGTTTCTTGTATTGTTTCATTGTTAACATTGGACTAAATCACTACAAACGATGTTATCTACAACAGAAAAATATGAATTAAGATAGGACTGGTTATATCTTCTAACACAACTATAATTAAATCTACTGAGAAAATATTGATCTATAAGCTGTTCAGTTATATTTTATTGATATTTGAATATTCCAAAAATAGAGAACTAATGAAATGTCCCACTCAGGATAAAATGACCAAATCTCATAGATTGTATTTTATCATAACGTATTCTTTTATTGCTTTTCATATTAGAATGTATCCTAATTACATATTTATTTTTTAGATAAATTTGTATTTTCGTAATGTTGTTTTCTGTTTGATAGATCTATTTATTGTCTACAAAAAGCTGATCTTCGTAAATGGCATAACAATAGAAGCGACATTTTTAAGAGCATACTCTCACCCATGTTCAGTATTTTATCATTTAATCTCAGCGAAAACTATAATATTTTGCTATATTCTTGAAAAACACGTTATTTATCCATTTCCTCCTCTTCTCAGTGTAATGTTTATTCCAGACCAATAGCTTTTCTTTGCCTGCCACTTGTAATATCCTGCGCCTTCTATTTGAGAATTATTGTGAGCAAATAAAATTAAAAAAAAACATGATATTTTTTATTTTTATTTTTTTTAGCATTGTATTTGTTCTTGTGGCTGTTAATGAGTTGATTCTGTTTGAGACAGCAACAAATAATTCTTATATATGTACAGAGAAAAGTAAATTTGTTACATATTGAATATTTTCTCATAGAACACTTGATGCTAACTGTTTTTTTGCAACAAGTTTTGTGCAAAACAACAAATAACAAATCTTTATAAGTTCTTTCAATTTGTTTTTACTTTTCCACCTATTATATCGAATCTTATTTCTAAATTATAATTCATAAAAATATATTTACAAGCATATTCAACGGTTCAAGCTGATATTTGACATTGATGTTGTCGTTGATGGACTATGTAAAAAAAGCAGGATTTGTAAAAGCATCACGTTCAATTGATTCTAAATTATGCTGATACAAAAAAATTTTAGCTCGAATTATTCGACTATAGAAACCTACAGCAAAAATTATACATTGTACACTAACTATATAAAGTGTAACAATAGCAGAAATAGCTACTGCTGCTGCAATGAAGAAACCGGCTACTTTAATTCAAAACATGAGACCAAATTCAAAAATAATTAAGAATAGACCAAAACCAATTGAAATTAATCATGCTATTTCAATATAAATAGTGACTGTTGATAATAGTTCTTCATTTTTATTATTTATCCAATAAACTTTTTGACATAAAACGCTTGTTATTTCAGGTGAAATACATACTGACATAAGTAAAGCCAATAAATGAATACTAACTAAGAGACATGATACAATAAAATAAACTGTAAGTACACCATCTCGAAAAGGAATGTCTGGATATGAGTCGATTGAAAATTCGATAAGAGCTACCTGATAAAATCTTTCATATCAGAAACAAATCAATGATAATAAAAATGCTTACAATAGCAAATTCATTAAGAATAGCTGAAGTTTCGCTGACAGTTTCCAATTTTGATCTATCATAGAGAAGATTATGTATTTGTTGATTATTTTTACGTGAAATTTTTCCTAAACAAACGTGAATGCTTAAAAAACTTTGTAATTGAAAATGAAAACAAAAAAGAACTATTAACACAATTAGTCTAAAAGGTTTTTTCTTTCTATTCATTAATCAAATATTTATCCTTCAACAAATTGACCATTCACAAAAGAGAATACAATGACTTGTGCGATAGAAGAATGGAATTATTGGAAATGGCTTGAGACGTAAAAAGTAAAAGAATAAAACATTACTGGGTTGATATTTTTAAAAACTAGAGAATATGTTAAAAGTCATTCTTGTAAATTGTTGAGCATCCTGATCTGATCAAATTATTTTTAAAATCAACGAATAATACAAATATAGCAATTTTATTTATACTTCCAATAATCATCATTTTGAACTTAATTTGAAAACTTCACTTATCTTTTCTTTTTATGTATATGACTAAAATAACATAGCACCTGAAGTTCTATCATCGTGATTACTGTCTTGTTCTAGTGAATGTTTAGTGAACCACATGGGTAATCATATGATATCGATTCTCATTCATATTTTATTGCAGTAGCTTCACAGTTGCCATTGTTCATACTTTGCTTCTACACAATGGAAAAAACTTCTTTTTCATTGATAAATGAATCCTTAAAAAGATGATTATTTTTAAATATATTTGTTTCCCTTGGATAATACTTAAAATATAATTTTTATTATCTTCTCATTACAGCGTATCATCAATTATAGATAGAGAGTATTTAGATCTATTATCAGTGAAAAGTTCACTGACTTCCCTTTGGCTTGAGCTGAACTATTTAGAAAATACCAGCCGTTACGAAATTTCAAAAAATGAAACTTTTTTTCAGCGAAACTGAGAGTTTAGCGTTTTACTACGAAACGAAACGACATACAAATAAACTTTCTATATAAAAGTTATTCAGCTTTCATAACACTTACAGAAAATCAGGTCATTTCTTAACAAAACATAACTACATCAAATAGCAAACGAAAATATGGTATTCGTTACGGAATTTCATTCCATTTCTGAAAATCGCAGTTTGGATCAAGATGAAGCAAAAAAACGGTCAAAAATAGCCAGATATTGATCACCAAAATCGGATTTGGCATCAAATAATGTATTTTTCACTAGAATCCAACAAAAAAAAATTGTTTAACTTTTGCGACCCAAGAAATTTTTGAGAAAAATAAAAATTGAAGTTTTGATTGATTAAATATTCCATTTCGTTTAAAATTCAATGCTAATTTCGACTATGTGCATACTTATGAATAAAAACCTCACAAAACTCGAATAATAATGAAATTATGTAAATCAGTACTTCTAGAAAATGGATGCGAATATTAAATCAACCTGTACTGAAAGTGAGTATGTTCGGTGAAACTTGTTAAATTCTATCTGGAGAAGTCGTTTTTGTTGCAAAAATTAGCAATATAAACAAGTTTTGTTATGAAATTTGATCAAAAATAGAGATGTGTGAACGAACGATAGCTGGTCATATTGATTTATCAAATCAATAACTAGGTTTTTGTTTTGAAGAATTTATACTCATCTATGAGTTATTTTTTCCTTGTCCGAATTGATTAGAAACATTTACTAAGTTTTCTTTTTATAGCAAAGCGATATCAAGACTCATCATAAGCGTAAAATAGATTAGGAGATAAGCCTAATCTTAAAATTACGAAATTATTTACTAAAGATAAGCATATTTGATCCCGATTTATATGTACCATGTTTTTTATTAGCCACTTACGTCAACATACGGAATAACGCTAAGATATAAAAAGGTTTTCTGTTGTAGAAATTGAAAGAGCAATAATTTACAAAAGTACTCTTGTGTTGCTCTGATATCTTTGGTTATGGCAGGCGGAAAATTACTGTAAATTATGAACCGGAAGTATGAATGAGTTATTGCATTGCTAATTGTATGCATTTAGACATAATTTTTTCCTAACATGAGTTGTCTATCTTGATTTGTTTCCAAAAAGAAAAATACAGAAATGACTATATGCTATCAAAGAAAATAAACATAAAAAATATACAGAAAAGCATTTCTTCAGTAGATTTTGATGAAAAAAAAAAGAAGCAAAAGCTAATAGATCATAAAAGAAGAATGATCTCACATAAAATAAAAATAATTCGTCGCTAGTTTAGTTCATGTATAAATAACAACGAAAGACTAGATTTATGTTAAAAAAAAATAGAAAGAGATTTTCATATTGCAATATACATTCTTGATTAATTCTCATCATCACTAGGTGTCAATAATGAAGATATTTGTTTTGAAATTGCTGAAAATTCTTCTTGACTAATATCTCGTTTACGTGATGCTGCAGCTGGAGTATTTGCTAATTTTGTAGTTGAATATTTTGATGACACTGGCGGTGGTGTTTCTGTTGAACGATGACGTTGAGCAGTTAACAATGTTAATGATGGCATTGGTTCATTAGCAGATAATATTGGTGGTTGTGTAGCCATTTGATTAATAATTGTTTTTGCAACAAGTGTTGCACGTCGTTGACGAAGTCTATCCAAATTTGGTGGTGGTAAAGCTGGTGATGTATCTTCATCTTCACCACCAGAACTATTTTCACCTGGTGATAGTGGTGTAGGTGATATAACACTATGTCTTCTTACTGATAACAATGATCTTGAAGGTGATGGACTTGAACCAGCACAGCGACCACATGATCGAATGATTGTATTAACTTGAACACTTTTATCTGTATCACTTTCAGGACTTTTATATGCTCGAATAATAAGACCACTAGGTAGACGAGGTACTGGTTCAGCAATACCAATAGGACGAGGAGTTGGTGTTGATATTGATTCGGATGAATATGATGCTGTACGTATTACACGTTGTTGTCGAGAAAGAATAGATTCTGACGTTGGAGCTAATATTGATTGAGAATTATGATTTGTTGTGGCTAATATATCATCTGTACTCAATTCATGAAAACCTAATTGAAATAAAAGAAATATTTATCTATTCTTCTATGTTATTTTCTTAACATACCCATCTGTCGAAGAAATTCTACAAGATCTCGAAGTAATTTTTTTCCAATATTTTCAAGTGTTATTTGTATTTTTATTTGTACAGCTTTTACGCATAATGAGGCAATAGCTAAACCAAATAATAAATAAATAGCTAAAATAAATAATGATTTCATATTATTTTCATGATGTATTGTCATATTTCGATAATAATTTCTTAAATTAATGGTAAATATAGATGTAAAACAAATATAAATGCTGTCAAAAAATGAATTTGATGTAATAAGACATGCACCAATGAGTAGATACATAAAAATCGTTATTATTAATTGTGGCATGGTTAAATTAGTATCATCATTTATATCTTTTATTGTATCAATAAGGATATTATAAGCATTTTTAATATGTTTTAGATGAAGACTATTAGATAAACGTCGTTGTCTTATTGATAATCGATGTATTGGTTGATCATTTTCATTAAATTCATTATCCAATGATGATATTAATAAGTGATTATTTTTTTGTGAAAATAAATCATCTTCATCTGTTGGTAAAGGTATTGAAATATCTAATTGTTTTTCAATAAAACGAAATAACATCCATTGACGCATATGAAGAAAATACTTTGTTGAATATGCACGTAATAATAGTAAAGATAAATACTTTATTAAACGTGCTATTAATAAACTTAAATCAGATAAAAATACTAATGTTAATGGAATGCCAATAGCAGCATAGATCATTAAAAATAATTTTCCTATTTTTTTTGTTGGCGTAAAATCATTTGAACCTTAATAAATAGAAATAAAATAATAATATTTTATTTAATTATATATAAATATATTTACCGATGGTTGTTAAAGTTGTTCCAATAAAATACAATGATCCTGCAAAAGTCCATCGGGAATTTTCTTCATTTAATGTAGGTTTTTCAATAACAGTTGATGGTGTTGTTGGAATTGATTGATATACTTTTTTAATTTCTTCTTCATATTCACGAAGATGTTTATTGACATATTTAGTATATTGTTGTACATCAACTGTTTGCCTTTTTTCTGTTATTTTTGATAAGAGACGTTCTCGTTCTCGATCAAAATTTTTTATTGGAACAATAGGTTTTGGTGTTGTTTCTACTGTTGATGAAGAAATAATTCGTGGATCATCTGATTCAATTTCTTGAATAATACTGGCACCAACAAGTGTATAGATTAAAAAAATTAAACAAATCGATATATGGGGAATGAATAGCAATGACCAATATCTAATTAATTAATTTAAAAAAAATCAATATTAAGATACGATATATATGTATGTAATATCTTACTTACTTAACGGATAGAACCCACTCGCGAATATTAAATTTCTTCGACATTGATTTAGGTTGTCAAGCAACTGGAAATAAATCAAGTACATTGGTAAAAAAACACATATAGACAGAACGAACGATTCCTTTTTCTTTTCTTTTTTTTTTGTATTCTTTACCTTTTTTAATAGCAACGAAGAGGAAGAGAGAGAGAGAGAGAGAGTGCGACCAGGCAAGCGAGACTTAGAGGCAGAAAGTTATCACCTTAATTTTTTTCCACTAACATGTGTCATTACATACGTCTCTTTTTGTCTATGTTTTCGTCATAAACAACAACCTATGTGTCAAGGAAACAAATCACGCCATAGAAGGTATCACTCAATGGTTGTTTTTGTTTTTTTTGCTTAGATACATAAATAAGCGAGCTTTTTTTAGTTGCAACTTCTTATATTTATAATGATTTCATACACACACTCTAAAGTAATAGAAGAAGTATATTGTAAATTGAGAAAGAAAAGCAAAAAAATATTTTTGCATTCAGCCGATTGCAGCACCATGCAAACGATAGAAATTGTTAGTCTCATAAAAATCACTGTTTTTCTTCTTTCTGTTTTTTTTTGCATGACGTGCCCGAATATTCTGTTTAAATTTTCTTTTTATTATGTTTGGCAACCTTGATGCATACTTTTTAGCATGTTTATTATTTATGCAAATCTATTCTTAATGCAATCAAAGATTTACTATTAAAATTTTCTTTTAGATTTTCATCTTCTTCCATTCAAAATGATAGCCGATTACGTTCAGTTAACTACGACGACTGTGTTATTTATTATTATACCTTTATTATATCTTATTTATTATCGAAAATTTCGTTATTTTATATTTGATCAACGAACGAAAGTCACAAAAGGCAAAACTTCAAGAGGCAAATGTCCGCCATCCTTTCCTAACGGTAAGAAATTTACAACTGTTGATCATCATTAATGGCATGCGTATGTTTCTATATATATATAAAGAGAGATGTAAATACGATCTAATATCACCTGTTTTATGTAATGACTGACGGAAATCATAGAAAAAAAAAACTTGAACCGAATCACCGTAAGCAGCGTTGAGAAACGAAGAGAAAGAAAAAGTCAAAGAAAGGGCATCTAAGTAGAACATTAAAAAGATAACGAATAATCGAATTATTCAAAGGTTATCATACAAGAAAAGGAATATCTATAAATGAATTTGAATTCTATCTATTATATAAACAGAAAATAATTTTTGTTTTTGTGTTTTTTGTTTAAAGGATGGTTTTGGATTATAAATTCATGTGATCTTAAACCTGGTCATACTAAAGCAATCTCATATTGTGGACGAAATCTTGTTTTATTTCGAGGTACAAATGGTACACCATATGTTCTTGATGCTTTTTGTGCGCATATGGGAGCTCATTTGGGTTTTGGTGGTAAAGTATGTCATAGTACTTGTATTGAATGTCCATTTCATGGATGGACATTTGATGGTGAAACAGGTGATTGTGTTTTATCCGGTGTTGAAAATAAAATAATTCGTATGGCTGATAAATATGAATATCATGATATTGAAAATTGTACACCAGTACCAAATAATGATAATACAACAAATATTTATTTAAACAAAGTCAGTGAAAAAGAAGAAATTAGACTTAAACGATATATATGTAGAGAAATAAATGGATCTATTCTTGTATGGTATCATTCCGATGAAAAATTACGAGAACATCCTTTGTATGAACCATTTGATCTTTCAAATGAATTAAAAATGAATAAAATGCAACGTAAAGAAAAGAAATAAGATTTGTTTTTTTTTGTTTTTTTGAAAATTTAACATATTTAAATTTCTTTAGCACGTGGTGAATCGATTAATTATGTTAACTGTCATATCCAAGAAATTCCTGAGAATGGAGCTGATAATCGACATTTTGATTTTTTACATCAATCAATTATTGATATAATATTTCCATTTTTAAAATTTCATTGGACAATGATATCTGAACGAGCAACAAATCCACGTTTAAGTGAAATAATGGTTCATCCACATCCAGAAGTAAATGCATATAAAATGCGTCTTTTAGACACATTTATTAATGATTCCAATCGTCGTTTTTTAAATGTTTTATCATTAAATTGTTATATTCAAATATTTAGTAAACATAAAATATTTATATTTAATGCAACTGGATTTCAAATGGGTCCATCACTTGTTTATTTATTTTTATGGTCACCTTATTTTCAAGTAACATTTTTTCAAACAGTAACACCATTAGAAAAATTTAATCAACGTGTTATGCATCGTATCTTTTCAACAAAACCAATACCATATTGGTTATCAACATTAATGCTTATGGGAGAAGTTAAACAATTATTTTCTGATATGAATATATGGAATAATAAAATATTTGGTGCAAAATTAAGTTATAATATGAAAAATGATGCTGATAAAGGTCTTCATTCGTGGAGAAATTGGTATACACAATTTTACGAAGGATGTCATGAACATGAAAGTAAATCACTTTTATGGTAAAAACGATTAACTCTTGCGCCCTGTGATCAAGATTTACAAAAAAAAAAAAAAAAAAAAAAAAAAAAAATTTTTTAACGATACTTTTTTTTCTTCCGATATTTATCAGAACAAAAGAAACGATATTGCACATGGTGATTTTTTTTCTTCTCACATGTTCCGTTACAATGTTATTGCCTGTGATATCTATTCTAAATGTTGTTTCGTTTTATTCCGTTTATTTTCAGGTTTCTTTTATCTGACTATTTTATCAATGAACAAATATATTTATAAATAAAATATTTTTGATATTTTATTATTCAAACGTGATTAAATATTATAAAGAGATAAATATGTATAACTTACAAGGCTTAAGTACCATTTGAAATTAATAATTGTCTAGAAGAAATATCTAGAAATAAAAAGATAACGAAGGAAATAACAAGACAGAACTAGTAGCAAAAAGAGCGTGTCTTTATATGCGTTATGGGAAGATGCACGGAAGAAGAAAAAACAATAAATGGTTATATTTGTCTGCTTTCTCTCGGGTTTATGCGGATGCTCTATTTTGTTATTTTGTTATGCTAATTGATTCTTTTCTCTTGTGAGATAACTAGTAACCCCATGGTTCTATTTCTTTTTCTTGTCATTTTAATGGAAAAAGCTAGAACATATGTATATTTTTCTATCAAAATTCTACTGTTTTTTTAAAAATGTATTCTTTCATAACAAAACAAGGCAGACGACGTAAGTAGATAATCGGAGGTTTCAACGATTATCTGTCAACTATTCAACATAAAGTTGACAGAATATAGTATTTCTCGTTCTCAGATGATATCACTGCCGTAACAAACAACAAAAATAAGAAAACAACAACAACTCGTCATGTTTGTCAATTAGAAAAATGAGAAGAATGCCATCAGGCAAGAATTTTTTTTCTGCACCGATGATATCTAGATTCATTATTTACGGGTAAAAATCAGATAAACTGATTGAAAGACTCCCCGAACAATAAGGAAAAATTATGTTTTTCACATGTGTTTGTGTTTCTTAGTAGATAATTAAAAAAAGATTTTTTACCTTTTCTCTATTAATATACGGTATTATGTTGAATAATAAATCAATGACAGAACAGTAAAACATGATTAAAACGTATGCTTAGTATAAGCAATATACAACATTAGTAATAAGAACAAATGCTAGTATAAGGATATTTTTCTTGCCAATATCGACAACGAATAAGGAAGATCCGCAATGTCGTCAATCGCGTGCTACCAATAAGAATGTCTGAGAAATAATTATGTCTCATCCTTTTTTTTGGTATTCATCAAGAAAATATCATCTGCCAACATCGAAAATGTCTACGTGAGTAAGACCAGGAAAAAAAAAAGAATTATTATGGAAAGAAGATTACATATAAATATCTATACCAATATTTATTTGAGTAATAGAATTTAAGGTCATATATTGGTATACTTATCTTTTTTACTTGAAAAAATAGATCTCTCACATGTAATATGATCCGTGTTTTTCGATGTACGATATTTAATGAGAGAAAAATTCTCATGATAACAAAGAATATTTTATGAATCACACATGTTCAAAGTATTAATTATTCTTGTTAGTATCAGTGGAAGTAGTGCATAGAAATATTTCATAAAACGGAAGGAGTAATATTAAATTGATAGATATAAAATTAATTTTTTCATTTTGTTTTGACAAAATAGAGCAGAGTAATACTTGATATATTATATAAAAGAAAAGTTTTATGCTATGATAAAAAAAAAAAGAGTTAATGAGAAGCAATCGATGATAACAGTATTTTTCGAAATTTCGTTATCTTGACAAAATTTAATAACAGTTTCATAGTCAAATAAAATAAAATCACAGCACTTCATTTACATGTATAGAATAACATGCGTCGACATGTTTCCATTTTCTCTGTTTCTTTAGATAAATACTCGAGTATTACGTGGTATGAAGAGCATTATTCCATTGATACTACTAGTAAGAACTCAAGGGAAATTTTTTCGATAATAAGAATGCACTACTATCAGCTTAATTTTTGCCCTTTTTAATGAAATATCTTCATCTATTAATAATTGCTTATAAACTTTCTAGACTCATGCATAGACTATAATTATACATGTAATATTATTTGTTCTTTGTGATATTTATATGCTGATAATATATAACCCGAGCAACAGAATGATTATTCTTCGTAGGCGCAATAAAAGAAAAAAAAAACTAATCTAAGAGTCTATATCATTTGATTGCTACTATGAATGATTTATCGTGTATCAAATTGATTTTCTGCACTGAAATACCGGGAAAAAATTGCTCTTTTATTCATAGAATATTCGATGTCATTCATACAACACGACACGTAACTATTAATAACAATGTAAACATGAGATGGTATTGTCAAAATGTTAGTATTCATTTTAAAATTAGACATATTACATTATTCAGTCGATAAATTTAGAAGAATATTTAGCCAATGATCAAATATAAACATAAATATTTGACATGATTAAATTCTC